AAAGGACCCAAGTAAAACTCATTACGTCCAACATCAGCGGGCGCAAGAAAACTTGGGGTTACGTATGAACGACTCAGAAGTTCCTGAAAGTCGTCAAAACTAAAGGAATCGCTAGCTTGGGATTGTAAAGCAGCCATTGAAGAAGGAACGAAGCTTTTCAGAGTTACGTAACAAGGAAGCAAAATATGAACAGTGAATCGCGAAGGATGCGTAAGAAATATGAAACGTGATTTCGTAGCAGTAAAATGGCGTGTTCGGAGTTTATAAGGGTTTGCAAAGCGACACACATTTTCAAGTTATAGAAGGAGACAATGATTAAAATTCTTTGGGGATCGTGAACGTTGCTGAAGACGTGAAGTGAATATGGCAAAACAATTGGAGGGTCCCCAAATCAGATAGCCCAAAGAACGAAATCCAATTGAACGAATCAAGGTGAATGCCCAAATAAGGGGCCCAATAGTGCGGTAACGCCATCGCCCAAGTTTGCAAGTCGCTCAGAGTCTGAACGAATAGAGTGGCATACGGTCGTCCAAAGTCTCGCCCAAATCTTCAAGTCGCCCAAGGTATCAACAAACATAACGCATTATGATGCAGTTATTGAGGCAGTTGCTAAAGTAATTTCATCACGTTCCACGACTCAAGGGGTTCAATCGAAAGCGGTTGAACGATGCAAGATAATGGCAGCAGTTAAAAGACAGTTGCATGACAAAGTGGCCATTACAAAGAAAGTGGGTAGTTATTGGGCGATCAAGCAGTTTTTTAGAGCAGTTAATCACAAAGGGATCGCCTATGAAGTATAAAAGGGAGAAAGAACTTAGAAGCAAAGACCGAATCCAAAACTCTCGAACAGAGAATATGTAATTTTCATTCCTTTAGCTTTTAGACTTAAACATTTCCTTTTCTGTAACTCGTATGCTTGCGCCCCTTGGAGGCACGTTGTTTTCCGTTTCCAATTGTAAAGTTCATCGCCAATAAAAAGAACACCCCTTTTTGGGACTTTGTCTCAAGAGGTTTCGTCCCTTACACAATCGTCTGATCCTCTTTAATTGTTAGCGAATTAACCCGCGCGAAACATTTGTAAACTAATGTTTTTGTATTTCCAGGTAAGATTGAAGAGTTCATTTTGGTAAAAAATTTTCATATTCATCTGATACCTGCGGAGGCAGAAAGATGAAATTGAATAAAGGGACAGGCTTCTGACCTATAAATGAGAATTAGTATTACTCCTTTGCAAGCATTTTTATAATTTTTGACCTCTCATCCCTTTAAAAATTATTTTCCTCTTGTAATTTGCCTTGTTCTGTACTAATGGTTTTCCCCAGCTGGAGAATGAAATCTGTTACTGAATAAACAAAATAATATGCTCTAGCAAAAATTGACAAACTTCCTTCACTGACTCTGCTGTATAACAACTAAAGACAACAAGCTTCAGCCTTCAAGGGAAGATGTATATGAAATAATCATATAGTTAACTAATATACTACTGCAATCTACGAAGCACGTTTGATCATGTTAATAAGTAACTTTATGCTGTCAAACAAAATTTTTACAACAATAACTTTCTCAGAAAATAAGGTCAAGGTTAAATGAGCGTCTAAGCTCGCTGACCCCAGGATCAGCTCGTTTGAAGGAAATGAGGATCGGCTCGCGAGCCAGCTTGTGGCTTGCTCCACAACATCCCTAGTCTTAAATTAGGTTTAAAGAAAGTAACTATTAAGCACTACAAACATGCATTTATATTTGGACCAACTACATGTACTAAAACTGCATCTCTTGTAAATAGTTTCTAGTGTAAACATATGAAATGATAATTTAAGCAGTTAACTGAACTCTTGGCTTCATTAATGAAGTAGAAAGATAAAAGTTTTAAGAAGATAAATAGCAGAAAACACTATCTTTCCACCAGATGGATATTAGATAGTCCCAAAGTGAAAGCGAAATTTTGTCAATACATATTTAAAAACTAACCTTAATAATTTTATAGGTCACATCGGTTTCTCCGTCAATTGACGCAGAAATCGTCTGAGGAGTGTAAAGCAATTTTCGTAAATGACAAATCATTGGAGTTAAAGGAAAAGATCAAAAGTAAATGAGTTCACATTCTGTTTTATATAATATATTTACTTACCCATTCATTCTTGATTTTGCCAAGAAGGAAGAAGAAATGGAAAAGCCTGAATCTGAATTGCTCATCAATCATTTTAGCCACCCTCATCCTTTGGCACTGGTTTCTTTCAAACCCTCATCAACCCCTAATAGAATAACATGTTCAGCTGTACCAAACAAGCCTCGGGAGCGAGTTACTCATGTGATTCCTGCAATTATTGCCTACACAAACCTTGCTCTAAAATGCCCCAACGTTTTAAACATGAGGCAGATAACCATACCTTAAGTTTGCTTGCTGCTCCTCCCTACCCGGAAGGTGCATTTGAATGCAACGCGTGTGGCACAAAAGGTACTGGCTTCTGTTACCGCTGTGAAAATTGCCATCTTGATTTACATACTGCTTGTGCATTTCTTCGTTCATCGGTTAAGTCTAATGCTCATGATCATGCACTTAATCTTTGCTTTGAGTCGCCCTACGGAGACAAGGCCTTTATTTGTGATATCTGTGGAGGATCTGGATCAAATCATTGGCTCTACCGATGTAATATGTGTGAATTTGATGCCCATCTCAAGTGTGCAAAGGACAGCATAAAGTTACAACCCCAATCTAGTATGAAACAAGATTATTCTACCTCAGGAATTCAGAGGCAAAATGAACCTCAGATTGTTAAGTCCAGAAGTGTCCCTCCTCCTCCAATTCGACAGCAACCACAAGTCGTTGCCCATTATACTCGACCCACATATCCAATTCCTGTCTATACAGTTGGGCCGGCACCGTCATCTCATCAATTGCATCATTCCTATACCGCACCCGTCTTGCCTATCCATGAAGGGTATGTCCAACCTGCAAGACGAAACGATGTTGTCAAGGAAATAGTTGAGGCTGCAATTACTGGAATAATAGAAGGAGGGGCGCAGCAAATAGGCCAGGCTTTGTTAGAAGGTGCACTGGGAAACTAAACCAGACTTTATATATGTTCTGCTCTCGGCTCTACTGCCTTAGGTTCAGTTTTTATTTATATAAGAGCGTGTGTGTTCTGTAAAATTCTAGCAGCTATGTTCTCATGAATTTTCAGGCTAAACTTCTCCTTCGATGAAAAAACTATAGCAACAACCCAATGAGCATTTCAGGATGGAAAAGTTCTACTTCAATTTCGAGTTCCATCAACAGTAACCATGCATCCTTGTTTATTCAAGCAATTCCGAATCAATAAAACTCATTATCTGTCAAAGCTGCAACTCCTTTTGAGGAAAGATCAGAAAATTTGCAAGAATCCTACCATTTGATGGGATGCAAAAATTAGAAATAATCAAATAGCGAGAAATCAGATACGGATTGATAAAAAAGGTGAAAGGGAGTGCATTTGATTGCCAATATTTTTTCTTGAAAATGATATTTTCTATCAAAATTCCTACTTTAATATTATTTGATTGTATTTTTTCATAGAAAATATTTTGTGACTTTTGTTCATGTAGCCATACTTTCCTTGAAAACAAGGAAAATATTTTCTTCACGGAAGTACGTTTTTATTTTTTAGTTAATTTACTTTCTCTTTCTCCTTCATCTACTCCATCTCTCTTATCTACGTACCAATAAAAAATTGACAAATATAACATTTTTTAGATTGAAAATAAAATCAGCCAAACACATTTAATTGATGATTTTCATGCAAATAATTTCTAGACAATTCAATTGCCCAGAATTTATATTCTTTTAATGTAAATTTCCTACTTGCAATTAAGGGTGGGCGTGTGTTGGGTTGTGTCGATTTTTTCCCAACCCATCATGGTCGGTTTGATCGAAAATCAACCCAATCCAACCCAAACTGATCAAGTTTGGGTTGATTTGGGTTGGTTTGGGCTTCAGCTCATTTAAAGTTGGATCCGATTTATTTGATAACTTTTAGAGTTGGAAATTACTTGAAAACCTCCGTTTTTTAAACACATAGACAAGGATTTCTTTCTAAAAATAATGTATAAATAAGTTTAAAATTTATGAAAAGTTTTCATTTTTACAAGTTTTTGGAATTCATTCATTTCATCATCATATCTTTAATTTTTGAATAAAGCCCCCTGTCCCGAGTGGGGGACAAGGGGGAAATTAGGGGCGCCACGTCCCCGACTGGGACAGAGAGCAGGGTTGTTAATTTTTAATTTATCGTCAAATAATATTGCATTTGTACATAGTGTTCATGTGAATCGGTCTACGTGAAGAACATGGACGTTTATAAATTATATGTTATTCTCTTATTTTTACTATTGTGCTTATTTAAATTATTTTTCAATCTTAGATATTAATTTTTTAATTTATCGGATTGATTTGGATTTTAATTCATAGCTCGAGACCCAACCCAACCCAACATCAAATTCAATTTTCCAATCCAATTGAACTTAAAAAGTCTACCCAAACTGATCGGTTTGGTTTGGGTTGGTCGGGGTGAGCGGTTTGGGTTTGTTTATGCCCAGCATTACTTACAATCAAACATACCCTTAATTCCTTCTAGGATGAACATAATGGTTCTATCATCAAATTGGCTTATAACAAGCCTCGTTTGACCCTCGTTATTTTACATTATAATTTTCTTTTCTTATTTTTAACCACAAAATATTTCATAAAATAATATTGCACATAAACAAAAAAAATTTCCTTCTTTTTCAACCACACATTTTTCAAAAAAATACTATTCAAAAAATTATAAATTTATCTTTGACCGTGTAGTAAAATTAACTTTTAGGGTTTGATTTATACAGACTACTATACTTTATATTTAGTGTTACTATGTCACCATAGCCATCCAAATTGATTTTGATTCTCCATGGTCACTCAACTTCATATAATGTTTCTGGCAAGCTACTCGGTTATTACCACAATTAAAAAAAAAATACACTAAAAAAAATCACACATAATCACTACCACAACTAAAAAAAGAAGGAAAATAAGAATAAAAAATAAAAAATACACAACATGGTAATCATTATAAAAACTTAAAAAAAATCATATGAAAGCAGGAACAATTTTTTTTTCTTGATTTGGTTTGATTTATATTATATAATTTTTTTTTTAAAATTTGGGTTAGTAGATTTCTCTTTTTTTTTTTTTTTAAATTTTCTACGCTGTAACTTTTTTTCTCTATTTGTATTTGATTTATATTATATAATTTTTTTCCGTAATTTCGGCCAGTGGATTTTTTTATTTTTTGTGTATGTGAAAGTGTGTGTGTGTGTGATTAGTTGTATATTTTGTGTTAGCAAAAGCCGAATAATAATAATAATAATAATAATAATAATAATAATAATAATAATAATAATAATAATAATAATAATAATAATAATAATAATAATAATAATAATAATAAATTGTTTATACTTTCATATAATTTTTTTATTATTTTTTGATTATTATCATTTTATGTGTGTGTGTGTTTTTTTTTTTTAAATGATTCTCGCCTTTTTTTAGGTAATAATTTTGTGTATATTTTTGTAGTGTGTGTATACTTTTTTTTTTTTTTTTTGTGGTAATAATTGGGGACTTGCCTGAAACATTATATGAAGTTGGATGGTTATTGTAATTCAAAAGCAATTTAGGTGGTCATAATGAGTTAAAATCAAATTGGGTGCCATAATGACACTAAATATAATTTACGGTGGCCATTAGTAAATTTAACCCATAATTTTTAATTTAGAAATCTTTTTCCAATATTAATTTACTAAAAATATTTTCGAATATTAGGCGAAGAAGCTACAAACTTTTTTTTTTCTTCTCCTTCCAATTCACTTGGGGAAGAATATTTTGCCTGCAAAAGATACTCAAAATTGTGTCATTAAAGTACTCGCTCGTTTTGTAGGATCTTTAAGTTTTTATAAGCTGATCAATTAATATTTTCAACTATATATTCTTCAAAATTGACAATAATTTTTACTTATTTTTTAATCACAAAATCTTTATGATCCATGAAAGCAGCACCTAAAATCTTGTAAGGAAGGGTGATAGTCATTATATGCATTTAGTGCTATTTGAGTATGCGTTTCAGCCCCTGATTGATTCTTTTTATTTCTTATTTCTTATGTTAATTTTCAACTACACATTTATACAATAAAATATTTCACACGTAATTTCAAAACTGTTTCCTAAATTTTAATCTTTCTCCATAAAATCACCATTCAAAACATTATTTCCCCTGAATTTCTCTTATAATGGCCAGTGAACAAGGGTTCAATTTGGGTTACTCTACAGGCTGAACATGGAACGACAATTGCACTTGGGGGAAAACCCAATCAATGAACAACATTTAACTTTAAGGTTATGTTTGGCAAAATTTATTTCAACATTTCACAAGATAATTAATTTATTATCAAAATATTCTGTAAAATTGTAATTTATAAACAATTAAAAAATTTAATTCCACTAACCACGTACGAAGTCCAAATGTTAATAAATTTGAGAATTTTCCATAGATGTCCTTACATTTCCAATTGTAGAATAATTCATCACTTTTTTCAAAACGGTGTTCAAAATTTCTGAGTGCGAAATGTCCAAATAATCCTTGTATATACCTTTTTGGTTACATTTACTGCTCATTATTGCTAATTCAAGTCATGATATGTTTGACTTATGTAAGAAAAACCTATTAATACATCTAGCCCCTGTTTGTGCCATATTTTTGGCTTATTTTAATGAAAAATTCGACCGTTTCAACTGTGATGGTGGGCCCCTGTACAGTGCACTTATCAGACGTTGCAGTAGTCAAGAAGCATAAAATTTTCAATTTTGCCCATACCACGTGAAAGTCTCAGCAAATTGTGGGAAGTCACAGAAGTGGGCAAAGAATAGTCAAAAGGCTGCATTATGAAGACAATCACAGAAGTGGGCAAAGAATAGTCAAAAGTGTCAGCCATATTTTTGCATTATTAAACACAATGAAGATAGATACAACCACTTCCAAGATTTTTAGGTGACCATTTTAATTGCTTAGACGTTTTCAAACAAAAAAATAAAAACTCAAAATAACAAAGACGTCCCACCTTGAACCAAACACAACGTAAATTAAAAAAAAAGAAAAAAAAAAGAAAAAGATGTCAATAGGCAAACAGTCCCTACAATTATTGTGAATGGAAAAAAAAAATATAAAGTGTTGAAGTACCTTCAAACCAATTTTCACGTTCGACATAAGTACATACACATAACACACGGATAGAATTCTTGCAACGGTGACGACAACATTGAGTCAAAGTGTTGAAGTACCTTCAAACCAATTTTCACGTGCCACACGTGAGGTCCCTAAATGCAATCGTCACGGTTGTTGTGTCATGTAATCACGAAGTCTATCCCACTCATTTCGTTGTATCTCCGGCGCATTTACTTCGGCCTGAATTTCATCCCCAGCATTAGGTAACTCTACCTCGGCAACGTCATCATCCGTTCCGCTCTTGCTAACGCCTCGTCCACAACTCCTGAACGACGCAAAATATTGTGAACGACCATAGTAGCTAAGACAACTGCAACTTGTGTTGGGAACGAGTAACTAGGCATACGATCAAGGATTTTTCATCTCTGCTTCAACATACAAAATGCACATTTAATGAAATTCCTGCACAAAGAGTGCTTGAAGTTGAACTTCTCACGAGCATTTCGAAACATACGATGCTGACCTGTTTGTTCATCGCGAAACTACTGAAAGTGATGTAGTATGTCTAAACCTTTGTACGGGGCCATATACCTCGGTCGATGAGCAAAACCGGAATCCACCAAATAATACTTTCCTGTTGCTGGCTGCGAAAATTCTATCTCCGGGCTGTATATAGCACGAGCTAGAATCTGTGCGTCATGCGTGTTCCCGGTATAACCAGCAAGCACGAATGTGAAACATAAATTGAAATCACATGCGGCCAACACATTTTGGATTGGTATTCCTTTTCGACCAATGAAGTTCACCCATTCGTGACGCGGGAGCACGGCTCGAATATGTGTTCCATCAATAGCCCCAATACAATCCTGAAATCGTGGATGCTTGTTCGAGTCCAGCTTGTGTGGCTCGACACCGTCATTGTAGTTATGTGCCGATCGTATAATATGTTCAGATAGCGATACGACGACACGTAGCACCTCTTTGAAGAGTTAACAGACGGTTTGCAAAGAGTGATTGAAAATCATTGTCACCTGCCAATATCCCTTCCTGTGTGCAAGTATGCACAGGAACATACCAACTTTCTCGTAGATATCTACCTGCTGGCTACTTGTTAAACCATATTCGTCTCGCAGCAAATGTGCAAAGTGGCGCAACATTGGTGGGTACATTCGGAACTCCTGATAGCACATCTTTTCATTCCCGCTCATAGCCTCCATCATGAACATGTGCCCATTTCTAGAGAACAAGAATCGTCGCACCCGATTTCGCTGTGTGCGATAATAGATCCGAGCATCGGTCCCTGCAACGGCTGAAAATGTGACCCAAGTTGTCACGTCATTTGCAAGACGGTCGAACAACTCATCCTTGTGCTCTTCTTCTACGTCGGATCCTGGTTGTAGCACGCAATCAAAGCTCAGATCACCCATAGCGTACCACCAATCTAGGAACACGTTATCGTAATAAGGTTCTTGGCCACCCATTGGAGGACATTCATTTATATAGGGGAATGCAAAAGCTAAGTTTGCCTCGTTGTAGCAAGTGGGCTAATTGATTGGGAGAATGAAAACAAAAAAGACAAAGGTTGCATGATTGGAGACATGTTATACAGCAAAAATGGGCTGCAAGATTCCCTACAAAATGAGTACATATATAGGCCATGCTATTCACACGAGTAAAATATGCAACATGATACAAGTTGTAAAAAAAATACAATGAATAATCCTATTTATACTAACATTCCCTAAACCTAATTAAAATTGGAATTAAACTCCTAAACTATTGTAGAAACGTAACTAGACTCCTAAGAATAAATCCTATTAACTTGATCAAGGTTTGAGAGTAATGGGTTTCTCCTTTATTATTCTTCAATTTCTCCTTTAATTTAACTTGATCAACGTTGAGAGTAATGGGTTTTACAGATTTGGCACAATTGCTCCCAGTTTGTTTGGCTTCCTCTACCTTCATGAAATCTCGATATTTGATAGCTTATTACCTCCATCATATTGAACTCCATGACTCGACCATGCATTCATATGGTTTTATTGGCCCAAATTATTTCCATTTTCTCGCCCGAACCTACCTTCCACAATCAACCAAAGCACATCACAACAGTAAGCAACACATATTGACAATAGTAGCTACATAACATTAGTACAAATACAAGTGTCCAACCTGTCCATATATGAGCAGGTAAAAGTACAAGAAAAATTAAATGTTCGGGTGCACCACTACAGTATTACATAAGTACGTAACAAATAGTGAACTCCTAGTAGAGTGATTTGCCATGCTCATTGAACTGCCATTCAATCCATTCGAACTTTTTGTCCTCATCTCTCATGACAGATAACATATCCCGATAGTGCTTCTGCGTCAGGAGTGTGCAGGCATAGAAATACAGAGGGGTGCGACGCTGTAGCCATCCTGCTGCGAGAAACTCCTCGATACATGCGGCCCCGGCATTCTCGTTATCATGTATGACGCTATTGAGCTTCGCGTCCACTTCTTCGCGTCCACTTCTTCGGCAGCAATGGTCGCTCGTTCCACGAAAAATGAGAGATCACGGGCCGAAATTTTCTTGTGCTTCCCCTTTCGTCCCTTCATGGACGATTGTCGTTTCTCACCACTTCGAGCACTCGAAGTGTTCATACTGGCTAGACCAGTTCCACCGTCCCCCTCATCGCTAAAATCCCTGCCCTCTCCATCAACGGGAATGTCATCCAAGTGGTCTCGTGCTGCACTATTCTCAAACACAGCTAAGCCTGTTCTAGTCAATAGGCTCGGGGTTGTTGCATACTTGTCACCGTCGTAGCTTTCACCAAATAGCATGCGATAGCGGATGTAAATCTCGCTCACATTTTTGTCCTTGAAATCCTTGTAGTCTTTGTTCTCCTGTGGTAATGAATGCCAAAAAAAGCATGAAAATTGAAATATGCTATAGACAAACATATCCTGGTAGGAAAGAGACTCAGCAAAAATCATATTAATGGACTCAAGAATTTCATGTTTCTAGGACAAATTTTCATCAACCAACTTGCAAGGATTTTCTTTCACATTCAATCTACCATTCAAGAGGATATTACACAGTGATGGTTTTACAAAACAAAGAACTCATCACTCAACCGAGACACAACCAGAAGAAAGTCACAGGAAGTTTCAGAGATTGTCTACAGAGACTTTTCTCTCTCAATAGAAAATGCTCCCCTCTTGCTCACATTCTATTCTCAGCCCTCTTGGTCCTATTTATAGCCACAGATCAAGAGATATACAAGAAGTGTATATATATACATTAGTTATAACGACTACCAGATTGCAAGTAACAGCTTCTTTGGTTCTAACTAATTGTAACCCGCTTAACTAATTACCTAACTGTAGTGTTTAACCAACCAAATGCAAGAATCAATTAGTTACAACATGGTATGTAGGGACCGAATTTATCAATCCAAAAGACTCTGATAAACCTGTATCAGAATTGATCAAAGAGACTACATGTGGACTGGGGGTGGATTACTGTTATGAGTGCACTGGAGTTCCAGAGCTGCTAAATGAAGCAATTGAGGGATCGAAAGTGGTAAAATTCCTCAAATCTTCCTGTCAATATCACTATCAGTAATGGCTTTTCCTATTGATCATAACATAAGACTAATTTCTTTTTAATCGTGTCGTTTAAACAGGGACTTGTGACAATAGTTTTCATTGGTGCAGGACTTCATTTAAGTGGGGAGCTCAAATACATTCCGCTCTTGTGTGGTAGGACAATTAAGGGGTCCATTTATGGTGGAGTAAGACCTCAAATAGACTTCCTTAAAATAGTTGAGAAATGTATAAATAAGGTATGAATCCATTTCGAGTTTCACGATGAAATCTAGAAGCTTTATTGATTGAATCACCTCGTTTAAAAATTTAATTTGTTGAAAAAATAAAACACACCTTCGTCACTTCCCTAAAATAATTGATTATGCCTTCTTGTACATGGACTGAAAAAAAAATGTTGTTTGAATAGGAAATTCAGCTGGATGAACTATTGACCCATGAAGTTTCACTCGAAGAAATTAACAAGGCATGGAAGTATCTGAAGCATCCTAGTTGTGTTAAAGTTGTTATCAAATATTAGAGTGAATCAAAGTACACAAGCAGAAAAATAACAAAAGTCGAAATCAGAACCTTGTTTGCGTTTCATATGGCATGCAAGATTAACAACTTCAGTTTAATTTCTGGCAACAACATGGTATGTGCATGCTCAAAGAAACAACAACAAACTACCCTATAGTTGCAGGGCACATCGATTTGTAACTGAGTTGTAGGTTGTGGTGATTAATGGAAACGTTACAAACGCTGCAAATTTAAAACCGGCGCCTTACCCTGATTTTTCGCGTCCACCACTCCTCGGATGCTACAATGTGATCCGTTGGCAAATCGTACTCGACCCCGCTGTAGGATAAGAGTTCACGAAGGCGATTATGGTCATGACGCATTGTATCCCAGTGGTTGCGGAGTTGTTGTTTTGTCCAATTGTGGCCGGATGACGAATTGAATAATGCAACCACACGCTCCCAGCCTTGTTTCGTGAAACACCTGCCATGGCGATGGCCTTCAGCAATGGCAGTTTCACAAGCTGCCATGAACGTTATCCGTTCTGCCGGCTTCCACCTCTCGTTTCTTCTTGATTCTAAGCCCCTGTTTGCAGGAACTCGTGCATCGGAAGATTCCTGCTGTGGATCGGAGCCCATCTACAAAGAGGAAACGCCAAGTGGTCGGAAAAAGCAAAAGTAAAATATGAACCATAAATGGTGTGCTTAGCCGTCGGCTTACCTCAGTAGAGTGTGGATCCATGAGGTTTGTCATCGATTTCAACTAGACGCAGCAGGGATGCCGGCGTTGGACTACCGACTTTTTGCCGATCGAAAAGAATTTGTGCAGACTGGGAACACGATCGCACGCCCAGAAGAAAATGAATCTCGGACGGTACCTTGTATTCTTGCTCCGTTATCGGTTGATGGTCTCTTCCCGGTGACCTTTGCGAAATTCACGCAAATGAATGGAGGGTCTTCTGTCGAAGGCGTTGCTGGAGACGAAAATGGGACTTTAGTCACTGGAGAGAGTCTGGAGATGGAGTGTTTTGGGAAAGCAGTAGAAGCGCAAAGGAGGAAAGAATATATATTTCTACCATGTGACTCTTTAATGGGTGTCAGAGAGCTGCAGGACCAAATGGTCCAATTTTTCATTAAAATGAGTCAAAAATATGGTACAAACAGGGGCTAATATACAATGGATAATAGAATTGTTAACAAATATATATATATATATATA